TCTTATGGCACAAGTGTTTGGAAGAATTGCAGGTCTTTGGTGATCATGTAATTACTTATGTTCTGTAGCCGCATGTCCCCTGATTTAACACCCTTCGACCTTTATTTGTGGGGAAGTTTAAAACATATGATCTCACACTGGAAAAACCACAAAATGACATCCACTGCAAGACATCAGCAATTTCCAGGGAAGAACTCCAGCAAGTTAACACAAACACATTCTGTGGGTACACCGAGTGCATTTGGACAGGAGGGCAGCATTTTCTGCATCTGCTGTAGCACTGGTGAGTTTTTAATACAGTTTTCAAAAAATGAAACATACAGAACTGTAATCTTATAGGTTACTTTGTATAGGCATGAAACGTGACTCCCATGTTAAAGGAAGGCATACATCAAAGGTGTTTTAAGAACAAAGTGCTGGAAAAATGAAAACAAGTAATTATTTCTCTGTTCACTCCAAGTCTTATGGTTAATCCTAGTGTTTAGAGTCAAACAGACATTTCTACCAGCAGCCTCTCGCCCCCCCCCCCTTTGCAAGAGAAAATACGGCCATACTTTGAGGTTATGTCTTTCATTTGTTTGGCAATGCATATGTTTATATTTGTGTTCCTCAATACCAGAAAATTTTGCCCTTCTCTTACTGACCAATTCCTAAATCATGTGACAGACTGCATAATAAAAATTGTGAGAGCCATATGCAGTCCACTGACCCCTGATGTAAAGTATGAATTCCAGCCTGGAAAACAATTAGAAAAAAGAATGCTCTTTATATACGCCTGGAAAACAATTAGAAAAAAGAATGTTCTTTATACAGCTCCTCTTGTTGGATTCAAACAGCATTTATTTCTACACAAGAATTATCATACAGAGTCAAAAAAACACCATCATATCCAATACACATTTAATTTTAAATTAGAACATACAAGAACACAAACTGAGAAGGATAAGACTGATTTAGTCACTGAAAATGTAATGTTACTTCTTATTCTGACATGTAATTATATGAAAGAATGCATCAAACTAAATATGAACTGTGTTACACAAATCCTTATTCATAAAAACGGGACCACATTACAAACATGCAACTTGTATAATTTTACATACAACACAGATAATGTTTCCAAATATACTTAGCAAGTTCTCAAAAATTCAAAATATGATTCAAGAGGATACTTCCAAGCTTTCACTATAGTGTTATTAATCTCGTACTTTTACATTTTATGTCGAGCTGCGGGAAGACAGAGAGGCTTGGTTATCGAACAATCAAATATGAAATAATTTCAAAGCCATGTGTAACACAATTTTACAAAGCAAAACTAACACTTTGAACACACATTCTTTTGTAAATAACTAAGTTCTTTCATTCACATCTACCCACAGAAAACACTTATTCTATATGGCTGAAGTATTCAAGGCTGGCAGCAGGATCAGGTTTCATGGTTTTGCTGCCTGGTCGCCAATTTGCTGGACAGACTGAAAATTGCAAATCTTCAATTACTAAATAGTTTTCAACCATTTCTTAATGTACGATGAACACTGTTTTATTAATGTTAACCACCCACAAATGTGATTTCCTTATCTATATTTGTATTATTATTTGCACTGAGGTATTATACTTAATATCATTTAACCCTGAATATGTCTACACCCAGTATGGATAGCTGATACTCTCGGGTTACAAGACGCGTCAGGTGGCAGAATGGTGAATTTTTGGGTTTCATTAAAGGCCTGGGGAATTTGATGAGGTTACTTACCCTCTCCATTCACATCTGTGAACTGGAATGCTTGTACAAGACGCAAAGTCTCGTCCACAGACCGTCCAACAGGAAGATCATTCACAGTTATCTGCCTCAGATTCTGTTTCCCGTCAATAATAAACAGCCCACGAAATGGAACGCCAGTCTCCTCATTGTATACACCATACTGTCTGGCCAACTTTCCAGCCTTGTCGGCAATAAGAGGAATGTTCATCTCTCCGAGCCCCCCTTTCTTGCGTGGCGTATTCACCCAAGCAAGGTGAGAAAAGTGACTATCAGTAGAAGCTGCAAGTACTTCACAGCCAATATTTTTAAACTCGGCTGCACGGTCAGAAAATGCGATTATCTCAGTAGGGCAGACAAATGTACTGAAAAAATAATGGAGATGCTGAAAAAATTAGCTAACAGACCATTATTAAACAAGTTTTATATATAATCTGCATGAGGAATGTTAGTGCTAGATTTTTATTTCCCTGTTCAGTGCACTGCAGAAACTATTGAGACTGTCAGTCCACAATAGATTCTAAAATTTTGTATAAGAGCAGACATAAAAAACATGACTTCAATACAAACTTGTTATACATTAAGAAGTTATAGAAACTCTTCTATCAAGATCATATAGTGGAAGAATAGCTACTTACAAATCAAGGGGGTAAAAGAAAAGCACGACATATTTCCCTTTGTAGTCACTAAGGGAGATATCCTTGAATTGCCCATTTACAACAGCTGTAGATGTAAACTGGGGAGCAGGTTTCTGCAAATCTGGGACAGGCATCCTGAAAACTGAAACATACAATGAGGGAGAACTGTACTATTTCGAAGGTCAAATATTTGTAACACACATTGCATTCAGGTTTTACCAAGTTTCACAATAATTCTGAGGATATTCCTACGATGCCTAATTTAACCCAAGTTACTAACATTTCTGCAGTATTTGCACAAAAGCAGGCATCAACAAGCTGAATAATAGACTTTCAGCAACAAATTCATGATTGTAAGACATCCTACAAAACAAATAACATATGCCATATAAACTACATGGAACTGATACTGGACTCTCAGCATACACAATGCACAATGTTTTTTACTGACATGACACATCACAATACAGAAGAAAGAACGTACGAAATTAAATTGGGAAGTATGCACCCTGTCAGTACAAGCACCTAAAAATATAGTAAAGAAACAATGGATTTATAAACCGCATAATGAGACATACTAAGATGGCCAACACGCTGCTTCTCTCAAAAATAAAGTTCGAAAACGAAAAAGTGTTTTAAACTGTGTACTATACACGCTTCGTAATCCTTGTTGTACATAAACTGGTGAATCTACGAACACAAAACTCACTTTATCGTTTACTCTAACAGAACTGTCCACGTACAGTTATGGTTATGTAATAGCTCGGCAATCACTTCAGTTCGATCGTGTAGCAAAGATTAGCTCACACAATTTCATCACTCTACCAACGAAGTTGCTAACTCATTCGCCGGTATCAGCAAGCTTTCTTAAAATTGTAGAATTAGTAAATATATTACGTGCACTTTGTAATTGTTGCAAATATGTTTTATTTTCCTCCAATAAACCATAAAGTGGGATTGAAATGGCAATGCTTAATTTGCCGCAAATACTTTCTCTTTCATATGTATTCAAAGGCCTGGACTCACATGATAAATGTATATACTTATTATTACCCACGAAACTGAATACTTGTCTACCGCAATACCAAATTCTAAAAGCTTTAAAAATAAATAAATAACTTTAGACTCACGTGCTATTGGACTCTTCCCGGTAACAACAGTAGCCTTGACACACTGACTTCTGCGATACTGTCTGTGACAATGACGTCTTAAACTAATTATTATTTGTAATAATTGTCCCTAATTTAAAAAAGAGCCTAATGTTTATGTTGCATTTCTTACTGCTCAGATGTACAGTAACACACAAAATATCTTCTTATCAATTCAAATTTCTAAAAAGAAGTTCTTAAAATAAAATAAAAGTTTATTTGATTTGGCGGGAAAGATATGTCACAACACCAAGGAGTACACGGTGCGAGAATCCAGAAATATCTGTGATGTTTAAACAAAGAAGTAATCGAGCAGCGTGAACGGTTTTGCAGTTGGACAAAACAGGATAACAAACCCTGCTAATTACTTGGTTTCATAAAATGTTGCTACAAAGAACAAATGAGGCGGATTATGTAACATTACTTCTGGAATTTCCGACAAGTACATCATAAGAACTGACAAAGCAGTTTTTCCTCCTTTCTCAGCGTATCTCTTCGGTAGTGAAGAATTTGTTCCAGATTTAACATTTTCAGAATTTGTTTTCTTTCAACCTGCGATTTCTTCACAATCTCACACTTGTACATCAGAACTATAATTCGTTTAAATATAGCTACCATAATTGCTAATCCTGTAAGGTACTTAGCTCGGAAGGTGTTTTCCTTACAGTAATAGTAAAATGTCTAAAACTATGTATTTTTATATTTCCCGTTATTAATTATGAATAAATTGTATCGTGGTTTCACAATTCAGTAGTTGGATTTATAAAAGAAGATAAACTGTGTTATGTAAGTGTGAAATCGTTTTATGAAGCGGGTTTTATCCCATGATATATGCTGGTTTATTTACTAATTTTTCAGCATATACTTCTTTCTTTACATTAAAGTGGTCGTTGGGACAAGAATGAGTGGAGACAATTGTGTATTTGGAATTGTTTTATTTATCTTTATCGGAGATGTTTGTTAGATTACAGTTTTGTTGTGAATTTGTACATCACATAAATTTTTGAAAATCATGACCCTTTGGGTGCCTGACTTCTGTTTGTTATTAATTTTATAGGTATTTATTATTAATGAAGGAGATATCCATTTGAATTTTCTTAGCATTTGGAACAGTTTTCATCAGTAATTTCAGGCAAGTGAAAATGAGGCAAATAAGGGTGAGGTTAGATAGTGTCAATTAGATCAATACCATTTGTATATTATTGTAAATTTTTGTAAAATAGTGTACTGTAGTCCGTCTTTGTACGCTTTTAAAGTTTATTGCAAGTACAGAACAATTATGGCGACTAAATATAATTTACTGTTTTGGAGATTTATGTTACATTTGCTAGCTGCAATATAGACTTTTGTAACTTACCCCAGGGATCGACAGATCCGTGTCTTATGTTTGCCAAGGTGTCAAGAAATTCTGTCATAACACCCTGAATTTTTGAGTAAAACTTTGAATATAATTTTGTTTAGCTGTCAGTTGTGATATATGATTTGAAGCTTTTGCAGTGACTAAAATCCTCTTGGACAGTCAGCTGCGCCAGATGGGTTACATGAAGATACCAATGTTCAGGTATCGTCTCAGTCCTCATCATCAGAGATGGTTGCCAAAACATTGGTATCTATGTGTAACCAATTGACATGGCTGATTGCCTGAGAAAATTTTATTCTGTTATTTGTGATCATTTGTACTACAGTAGCAAGGACCTCTAAAACATTGGTAAGCATCTACCATACTACACGGCGCAACAACCCAGAAGACAGCAATCTTCTTGTATGAATTTGAACAGTCACTATTGTCATAACTTTTTTCCATCGCAAGACCAATCCACCACTTTGAATCGTATGTTCAGGCAAAATAGCTGTATAGGGCAGTGTTATTATATGTAATATGATTTGGTCCTGAGTACTGTCTTAAAATACATGAATCAAATAATATACTGAAAGAGAAATTTATCTTGAAAACAGCCCTTTCTAAGACTAACATACTAATTCATATATTGTATAAGTAAATGGTATACTTTGAGAAATAACACTTGTAAAGTTTGTCTTTTGCAGCCAGAATCGATTACAGAACAGACAATGAACAGCAAGTCACATATTAATAAAGGAAATACCTCCTTCTGTCACACTTCTTGCCTCACCAATGCAGCACAGACAAACAGTAATTACACAACACTTTAAGGACTGTTTGAACATTAAAATAATTTCTCGCTGTGGGGACGTTACTTGGCCAGCCTCTTTTCCCGATCTGTCGGCTTGTCATTTCTTTTAATGGGACTACTTGAAAAGCAAAGTGTTATAACGCGTCTAACGGACTTAAATAATCAGTTTCTGAAGAAATTAATGCCGTATCACCGGCCATGTTATTGCATCAATTTTGGTGGATGACAGCTGACAGCTATTATTTTAATAAAGTAACTTTGTTATAATTTTCCTCCATAATGGAAAACACTTGTCTTTCAATTCACATTACTTTGAGTATATTTTAATAAACTATGGTTATGGTTGACCAGTTTATCTTTAACAGTGGTGAATGAATGTTGCCACACTCTGTACATGGAAGTGAAGAATGATTGGATTATGTCAGCTTACATCATTTCCAGTTTTAGATGTAGACATTTTTATGTGCTTGGTTTTTGTTGTACAGAGTGTACATCCTAATTTCCAGCTCTGATGATGAGTCATTTAGCTTTGTTTGTCAGATGTTGGCAGTGCTGCAAAGTGTACACTTTGAAGGTTTTATTTTGAGAATTCTTAGATATAAATTAACAAAACTATCTCTTTGTTTAATTTTAGTTGCCGAGTATGACAATCTTGTCCTGGATTTTGCTGTACAAGCTCATTGCAGCAAAGATCTATCAGTTAAGCATACGATGAGAATAAAATCTGCACGTTTGTATGTGGTCAGACATGGCTCTGATCCTGTGGTATCTTCTCTGGGGCACAACAGTAATAAAGCATATCTCGGCTCAGACAGGTGAGACATTTTGTTATATGCCAGTTGAAGTTGTGTTCCTTTTTGCTTTATTATGGTGGTGTACTCTCATCTAACAATTCTTTTGTTTTGATATTTTATAAGAAGATATATTTTAGTGTTGTACTTGTAATATGTGGTCAGCGTGATAAAATTAAATTTTGGGTCATCTATTTACTTTCACAGTGAACTTATGTTAATGGAGAATATGGTAGAATTCCAATTAGCTGACTTAAAGGGACTGATGGATTGTTGGATAATAAAAAATGCTGGATGACGTGGAAGACGAAAGAACAGTTTATAACTAAGTTTACAATATTGTTAAATTATTAAGAAAATACAATACTGCATCATATAAAAAACTCACAAAAATAGCATTTAACTTAATGTGAATTTGTAAGTGAAAGAGTTTATTTTTTAAGAAATGGTAATGGGTATTTGGATGGCAAGTCAGATAACTGAAGGTTGAATAATTGGGACTCTACTGTATAGAAGGATTCTTGGATTAAAACTCAACGTAGGTTATTATTCACATTTGGGACCTTACATATCTTTCCTTGCCACTCTACGTCAAGCAAATTCTCTGGAAGGTTAGTGTAGAATTGGTTTGTATTTTTCAGTTTCCATAGGAATTGAGTGTGAAGGTGAGAAGATTTTATTTCTTAATTAAGTTATTTTTGAGTAATATTTAGCAATCCAAACTGCAGTATAAAGGGTTTCTGTGAGGATATGCGTCGTCTTGAATATCTCTACTGGCTTCATGGTATTAACTGAAGCCCACTTGCATTCTGCTTGAAGTGAGATGAAACTGTGAGATCCACCAATCCAATTCGTACTATTTTCTCTCATTATATGATTCTGCTCCACCTGGTTAAAGGTAAAGGAGACTGTGCCATCCTCACGTTAGGTCCAGTCACAGGTTTGCCGTCAAGTTTAATTCAAACGTATTGTGATATAATCAGTGATTATGAAGTGGGTTCTTAAAATGGATTATTTCACACTGTTATCAGTACAGTTGATTATTTAGTGGATTAATGTCTGATGTTTCACAATTTACAGTTCTTATTATATGGGTATGAATGATCTCTTCTACATTGTAATGCGTGGTTCTGTAACTAATCTCCGCTGACTTCGTCTTGCCTATCACTTAGACACCCAACTTTCGACTTACTCTGTGCCACACCATCTTGCACTTGTATATGCACCAGAGATGTTCGTCTTGCCTATCACTTAGACACCCATCTTTCAACTTACTCTGTGCCACACCGTCTTGCACTTGTATATGCACCAGAGATAGTACTTCAGACTTTCAAATAATTTCCAGAATGATTATTGTGATTTGAGGTGTTTCTGAAATGGTGTCGACAGATAATGCTGTTTGTCGCTGTAGATTAGCTGGGAATCTTTCAGAATGTGTTGTATGTAGCATCACTGGTGTTACTGCAGGGTGGCACACCGTCTCAGTCTGTAAGTCCACTACAATATCTATATATGCCATTTTAAGGGACAACTGAATAAGATTGGGTGGACCATCCAGAACGCCATTAATTTTATGTTCATTCTGTTTATGTGATATGGAAATGGTGTTTATGTTTTATGGACTTATTTTAACTTTTGAGTCAGAGAATTTTGTCATGTGGTACATATTATTTGTAGGTAGCACTTTAGGTTGTGACGTTATTTTCGCAGGTGAGACAGGACAGTTGCCTCCACCTGGTTACTGTGCGCCATACAACGGAAGGATCTGCAAGCATTATTTGAATGGGACAGGTCTGGTTTGGTTCAACATTTCACACGAAAATACTGGTGGCTGGGAGAATGAACAGATCACAGCTGGGCTCTGGGCAGAGATGGTAGTGGGGTTGAAAGAGCCTTGTCGTAGTGCTGCTGAGGTATTAAAAATTCACAAATCTCATTCTGTATGTAAATTGAAAGTTTGAGATGAAATGAAACAGTTTCAAAACCCCTGTGAGTGTGGTGATGTAAATAGAGTTGTCAGTTTTTCTAAACGGTCGTATATTTACAAACTTTTAGCAGAAGAATGTGTTATGTCAGTAGGTTAATAAAACATACGTGACATAGTATTTCAGTTTTTGAAGCAGCATAATATGTGTGGCTAATTTAATTTTTGAACTGACTATATAACATATAAATAAGTGTTTGCCAAAAGGTCTCACGTGACCACCCCCGACACCTGTTAATGGGGTTGAGGTGTGTGCTTCACATCCCTATCACACCTTTGTGTGCCACCAGTTTCAGAAATATAAAAACTTGTGCCACAGACATAACAAAAATTTGGGAAACACTTGTTTATAATTATGCTTTTGACTGACTAAATGGAGAAGTCGAGAAACTAATAATCTCTTAGCTAATCTAGAATTTTAATAAGGGTTTATTCCTATGTTTCCGATACCCTGTCACTATTTGCATCTCATTATGTTTTTATGTATGTTGAGCAGAAACTTCTGTGTACTTACGCATTTCCGCAATGCCAGTTGCGAAATGGGTACCCAGTGGGGCTGCCACTGTGTGCAGAGGATTGTGTGGCTGTGCGACAGTTATTCTGTTATAATGATTGGGCACTTATCGAAGATAACAAGCAGCGTGGTATTTTTTTCAAGTCACGTGGCCACTTTCACCTACCAGACTGTGAATTGCTCCCAAGCTTCCGAGGTTCAAACCCCCCTGCCTGTTCTCACGCTAAGCTGACAGAAATGAAGATGGAGGAAGTGACATGTATGTATTTCTTCTCTGATTGTAAATACCCGAGTTTTTATTGGAGAAATTTGAATGCACTCTGCACACTACCTTTACTGGTGAACTGCGTTTTCTTTGCGGATATATGCTTTGGTTCCTTGGTTAGCTGATGATGGCAGAATATTTACTTTTGCTTATCAAAGGAACTTGTATGTAAATTAAGTTTTAATTTTTTGCAGATTCTTGCAAATTCTAATTATATATCTATCCTACACTGTCATCATGCACTTTATAAAATAACTGAACTTGAAATGAAGAATATGTTTTCAAGTCTCAGGCGTTAATACCATAAACCAGCATTTCTCAACCTATGGTATGCATACCACTGGTGGTACACAAACTAAGTACTAAAATCAAAAGATAGTATTAACATAAATAAGTTTTCCCTGAACGTGTTTGGTTAGTGGTACATTTAATGTGTTAAATTAGAATTAGTGGTACAACAGTGAAAAAAGTTGAGAATCCCTGCTGTAAACAAAAATGCACTCGCCCTTATGTGATAGTAAGGAAGTAGGTATAGAAATAAAGCAACTGGAATGTGTGTTTATCTGTGTTACAGGATGGGATCATAATGTAGTAATAGGTAACAAATTCTTTGAAAATATAACAAAAAGTTTAGGTATTTCAGATTGTCAAAAAGAAATCAAAAATACCTTTATGAACATGTTAAGAAGAGGTCAAATTTGAGAATTCTTGCTGTTGTTTATTTCAGAATATTTTATTTCCATGTCTCCAATCTGAAGAGTAAAATATAGTTTTACCCAGTGTTTTGTATGATTTCATCCAAAAGACATAAGTGTGCATGAGCAAATGTGCAGAAGTAAATATTCGGATCTGACAAAGTAAGATAATCACAGAGAAGGTTACATAATGATGAGCTATATCATTCACCAAACTATATTAAAGATGTCATTAACCGCTGAGGAGCTTCATCTGTTAATATTCCACAATAGGTTGGACGTGTAGCTCGTATGGAAGAATTGAGAAAAGCAAATATAATATTTTGTTTGGAATACCTGAAGGCAAGAGACCCCTTTTGGAAACAGGAGTAATAGGTACCGGGGTCCTTTACCTGGGATAAAGTGCAGCTGAGGTGTGATACTTACCACTCACCCCGTTTTAGTGCCGAGGCCCCCCCCCAAGCGCCTACATGGCATATACTGGGACAACTTTAGTTTTCATCTTTTTTACAAGTAATGGAATGATAGTTCTACAAAAGCGGGATATTTCTTGAATAGCTGAATAATAACTAGACAAGAAAGAGATATTATGGAGTTAATTATTAGTTAGTTGTAGTATAATACTACTGATCCTCCTCCTGCTGCTATTGCTTTTATTATGTATTACAAGCATTACTATTGCTACTGGTTTTGGGGGACGAAAGTATGTCAAAGATCGTCTTTGCGAGAAACCTGGTATGTGACTTCCTACTGCCAGAAAAATTATTTTAAAAAACATGAAAGCAGTGTTTTTAAGAAAATTGAACTCTTTTGTGCAGATGATTGCGTAAAAGGGCGAGGTCGTTTCTATCAGGGGACAGTTAACAGAACGAAACAAGGGTTACCATGTCAACATTGGAACTCCCAATTACCTCACTCGCATTACCGCCCTCCAGATGTTTTCCCTGAGGTGCAGAATGCAGAGAATTTCTGTCGTAATGCGGGTGGTGAAGAACCCTCTCCTTGGTGTTACACCATGGATCCCACAGTGCGATGGCAGCGCTGTGATATACCCATCTGTGGTAAGCGCTGTTGTAGTATTAATAGTAGATACGTGAAGTGTACTGTGTTCAAAATTTTATGTAATAAATGTGTAAAGGTGTATATGATTACTCTTGCAATGGTAGTAATGCATAATCTTAAAACCATGCATACCATGTAGCGTATTGGAATATGAAGTATGTATACAAACAAAAACTGTTTACACTTTAAAGGACACTAATGTCAAACGTGTTTTGACCTCAAGAGGTCATCAGTGGCAAAACAAATTAATTCATATAATACAAATCAAAAAAAGATTATGGTTTTTAACGGGGCATAAAGGCATGTATTTTACAAAACCATATTTATATAACACCTCACTGGTCAATGATTGCACAGGAGTTGGTGTATTAAATTGATCACTTCGCTTTTATATCCACTGGTCTGATTGCCGTTGTTGGTCTACGGTGAGTCGTGGTCAAGTAGTCTGGTAGAAGTTTACCATTGTTTCATAGGTGCTTGCTGCCTCCAACATTACCCTGATGGTCGAGTTAACACTTCTGAAACGACGGTAAACTTCTGCCAGACCGAACTGCCCAACAACCCAGAAGACAGCCATCTTCATGCTTGCCACCAAGTGAATGTCAAATCTCACGTAATAAAATCTTGTGAGATTTGAGATTCTGTACCAGTGAAAGAGCCCTGGAACATATTGAGCAGGAGGCAGGCTGTTTTCAGAGCCATTCTGGATATTGTGACAAAGAGAAAAACCTTGCTGTGGTGGGAATTTAAACTTCATGATAATACAGAATTAATATGTGATATGTTTTGATTTTTGTTAATAAATCTTCAACATTTTCTCAATATATGAATGAAAGATGCATACCTGACAGAAATTTCAATTGGAGGACCTAGTGATAATGATTGTCTCTCATTGAAAGTGATGTCGTTTGTGAAAATAGCTGAAGACCTGAAGATGGACTCATACTTCCAAAATATGTTGTCATAAAAATTTATGGCAGGACTTGAGCAAATAGGTGCAGTAGTACGCAGATTTGCACAATTTTCTCTCTCTTTAATAATCCATATAAATTTTCTCCATTGTCATGACCTTGTTAGTGGAAGTTCTGTAATCTGCCACTTGATTCGTCTCACTTCAGAAACAGATTACGTCACGTCACTGACCTAACAGGCCAGTAAAATTATTGAGATAGAGGAAATGGTTTATCTCGCAACAGTAAAGTGTTTTCTTTTCAGAAAATGTGACAGATTCAGATGAAACTGATTACATTGGAGTGAAAGACTTAACAATGGAGGCATTTTTCACTCCGAAGTTCATCCTAATCTTGTCAGCGGTAGGACTTGCTGGTCTTGTTATGATACTTCTGCTTTTCCTGCTTTGTCATCGCGTGTACAAACATCGAATGGGATATAATCCTACTGCAACACGAGAGGTTTGTCTTGAATGCCTAAACTTTTGTAGATAACATTTGTGATAGGAAGAAAGCATATTAGTTAATTATTGATCATGCGGTGCAATAGACTGTATTATGTGAGATAAATACATGTTGGACGTCATAATTTTTTTGACTCTTCTATGTAATGGCAGCTTTGATGTTTGTGAGAACTGTATGAAGGTTTTATTTTTTGTGTTCGTAAATATATGCCAATATTGTATTCATAGTCAGGCATTTTGTCTCATTTTCATTTGTATGTAACAATCTGACTGCGTTGGTTAAGACCTTGTTTTACTTTGTGCAGGAAGTAAACATTGACTTGGACAAATTACCAAGCAATATGGCTTATCACAGAACAGGAGCACAACTAAATCCAAAATTAGAGAAACTGGAGTTCCCAAGAAATGATATAATCTATATTCGCGACCTTGGTCAGGGTGCCTTCGGACGTGTTTTTCAGGTACGTTGATAGAGTTGTGATTTTTATTTTTTGTCTCCGAATGTTTTAAGTATGTTTAGATTGTGAACTGTGTGTTTTTAGGCAAAAGCTCCAGGTCTAGTCAAAGGGGAAGAATTTACTTTGGTAGCGGTGAAGATGCTGAAGGATGAGGCATCAGAAGATCTGCAGGTAGATTTTGAGAGAGAGGCTTGTTTGTTGGCAGAATTTGACCATCCTAACATTGTGAAACTCTTGGGTGTGTGTGCCATTGGTCGACCGATGTGTTTGCTTTTTGAATACATGGGTCGTGGCGACCTCAATGAGTTCTTGCGCTCTTGTTCGCCCAGCAACTATATTGTGCGCAGTTCTGAAGGGGATGGTGAAATGTTCAAAGATGTGCAACTTACTCACTTGGATCTGGTGAATGTGGCATGGCAAGTGGCTGCAGGCATGGTGTATCTCTCAGATCGTAAGTTTGTGCATCGTGATCTGGCCACCCGGAATTGTCTTATCGATGATAACATGGTGGTAAAAATTGCTGATTTTGGCTTGTCACAGAAGATCTACCTGCAAGACTATTACAAAGGAGATGACCATGATGCTATTCCTGTGCGCTGGATGCCCCTTGAAAGCATCTTGTATAACAAATATACGGTGGAATCGGACGTGTGGGCCTTTGGTGTGTGTCTGTGGGAGATATTCTCCTTTGCTTTGCAGCCATATTATGGTATGACACATGAGGAAGTTGTGAAATACATCAAAGAAGGTAATGTACTTCAGTGTCCAGAAAATACACCAAAATCATTGTATGAACTGATGAAGCTGTGCTGGAACCGTAAGCCGTCGGCCCGTCCTGGGTTCCGTGTGATCTATAGGACTTTGGAAGACATCCGAGCTGAGGTAGAACGTGCCCAAAATGTTCGTGCAGGCCCTTACACTTGTGGTGTGCATGTGTGACGTGATGTAATCATGTGTGGCTACATTATTTTTGTATAATTTTAACATATATTTACACGCAGATGTGGGATATCTCTAGTCACTTCTCATTTAGCTGATCACAATATTATTACATCTGGTTCTTATATTATCTCTTTCAGCTATCTAGCACTAGAGAGTACATTTACTGATAACGTTCATCTTATTTTTTACACATTTTACAATTAATGCAATACTGTGTTAAATTAAAGTAGAAATCTGTTGTAGCTCTCGTTTCTAGCATTGACATATCACCTGCATGTGGAAATTTGGTGAAAATGTTACAGCACGTGCTGGAATTTGGTGACAGAACAAACGCTGTATTTACCTAAACATAAGATTACTTCCAACCTAAGAAGGTAAGTTGCCATGTGAGCCATCCAAATTTGTATTACTTATCATACCATAAGTAATACAAATTATTCTATGTAAACTTTTACTTCATGAATGGAAACATTTATTACATTATGCAACACACATGAATTGTATTGATATTCTTGCCCTACCAACTTTTATGCAGTGAAATTAATTTTTCCTGCAAAGTACTAGTGGTGATATAAAGATGTTGACCCTAGAACTTATTTTTATTAGTAAATTTAATGCAACACTTTATTTTTCAGTCATCATTGTTCATCACAACTTTTGTCTAATATATTGGTTAAATAAAGTACTTAGAACAGTTTATTCATCACTTGCTTATCTTGTGGACAGAGTAATTAGTTTCATAATACTATTTGTAATGAACCTTTCTCACAGTTTTTTTTACTGTATATTTAAACTTTAAAGAAGCTCTGCTGGTATAAAATCATAAGGTAAGCAGAGACATCACATCCTGGCAATAAATTTAATAGTTTTGAGTATCAAAAATTCAAGATACTCATTTAAATGTTACTGGTAGGTCATTTATACTGTATACGTATCCTTGCATTGAACTTAAGTATATGCAAACTGAAAAATAAAGCATGCACTATAAATCAGTTTTACATTAAGCACCACTGTAGCAGGACAGTTTTGTTGAAGTCTGTGAGATGGATATTTACATGCTATGTTATTATTTATTTATTTTATTTTTCTCTCTCCTGTCCCTGTCTATTGCTTCTTTTCTTGTGTTCAGTATCTTTTACCTTCTTGCAGGACTGGTTGTCGAATCATTCAATTTCTTCAATGGTGCCATCCTCATGAACAAAAACTATTCTGAGTCCTGGTAATTATTTCATCTTTTCTGATTCTTGTTCATGGTCATCCATCTCTTATAAGATGTCACATGTCATCAGTAGTTCGATACATTATACGAGGCGCGTCCTCAAAGTAAGTTTCCCTGGGGCCGTTTACAGAAACAAAACACAATTTCATGGAAATATTTATTGCAACAGATACAGCAAGTGTCCAGCTATTTTTCAACATATTCGCCACCGGAATTGAGACATTGGTCATACCGTGGGACCAACTTTTGAATACCTGGG